ATCTACTGCAAGATTACGGCTATGGCACGTCCGCAGGCTTGAGGTATGCGCCACGTTGCATCTACTGCAAAGACTGCATGAGAGCTACACGATAAAATATACTTTCAAAAACGTATACACGCCATATTTTCTTCTGCAAGAACACGTACAGTTTTCACCTAAACGAGGCATTGCCTCCACTGCAAAAACTCATGCATAGCATGAGAACTACACGACAAACCTTACGCTGTAAAACTTACACTGTAAGCGATTTTATAGCAAGGCTCAAATAGTCTTCAATTATTTGCGACATGCATACTTCTACTGTGAGTATCTGTACTTGGCATAAGTGCTACACGACAAAGCTTATGCTTAAAAGCTTGTACCCATCATGATGCCTGCAGCCATCTATGTACTTATAAGCGACATCACTTCCACTGCCATACTTATACAAGACACAGGCATACATGCTTGCCTCACAAATCATACCGGTCAGTACTTCCAGTCATAGGTTAAGCCTCGTCAAAATTCCGGAGGGAGCGAACACGTAAGAGTACTTGGACGGGAGAAATGAGGCTAAAAGTTCCCAGTCCGTGACATACGGCCTTAGTGGCTATATATATATATATATATATATATATATATATATATATATATATATATATGTATATATATGCATACATACATACGAACATACACATATACACATATTGGGTTGGTGTGTGTGTGTGTGCGTGTGTACACTAGTGTTTGCTTTTTTAAGCATATGCTTTTTCGTGTTGCACCAATGGCGCGCATAGGTCTTTGCAATAAAATCAATATCGTGTATAAGTTATGACTGTGCACGTTTTTGCAGTAAATGTAATGACGGGCACAAATTTTTGTTGCACAGGTTGTGTCGCGTAGCACTACTGTCGTGCTCTACGATTGGCAATAGCATACCGTAGCGCTCTTGTCAGTAGGAGTTTTTGCTGTCCAGCACTAATGTCGTGGAGCCGGAGGAGACTGGTTCGGTCAGGTTAAGCCCAATAATCTACAGGCGCTAGCCTTGCGTTTTGTTTATCGCCACAGCGTGGCTCTGCCTGACAGGAAATTGGAATCCATTTGAACTCGAAGGCATGCCACATACGATGCGAGGGGGGATTCTTGAGATAAAGATCTTTGCCCCTTGACCTTGTCTTTTATGATGGTCACCATTGCAAAGCTTGGGGAACCAGGTTCAGTACAAGCATGCTTGGCTCATCTTGCTTGAGTGCAAGTTGTGCGATGGCAGTGCTGAGGTTGCAGGCTGCTGAGAAGCCCCCAGGGTAGCTCACTATGGGCTCACCATAGTTTCATGGGTTTTGATAGTGTCCAACGACTTGCCAGTCCTTTTCTCCCCATGCTGACACTTCAGAATGTTCGAGCTCATATCATCAGCAGCGACATTTGTCGGCACCGGGATGGTCTGCCCACTAAGTCAGGATGGTATGTCCGCTGAGCCAGGTTGTGTCTTGGTGCCAATCTTCCAGGTCGGGAATGCATTGGTCAGGAGGCCGTCGTCAGATTCTAGTTTTCATCGGATATATACTTTTTTGCTGTTTCTTTCCATTTTAATTTCTGGAGTCAGCCAAGACTGCACTCCAGAAATGCCGGCGCCGACTTACACTAGCTGTCGGCACCGTTGTCTGAAACCTGGGGTCTCTTCTTCATTTCGTGACGTCGCAGTTAATAAAGCCCGTGTTACAATCCCGCCTAAGCACTGGCGAGGGAAAATGCTATAAAACAGTGGTGGGACTGGTCACTTCGGTGGCTTTCATTTCGACCCCAAACAGATCTTCAGCAACGCTTTTTGTAGGCTAGAAAAGTACAAAAATGTGCCAAAACAGATTGCTGTCGCACATATTTCTTGAACAATCCAGATGCCGATTGACAACTTGAAACATTGCAACGAAAGGACACTGAAAACCATTTCATTTAAGCTGCCTTACTGATGGATGTCTGCAGCAGTGCAGTGGTGTGATAAGGCTCCCGGGAGCTCCCTCACCCCCACACCCGCCCTCCCCCAACCCCACCGTCGCTTACGATTCCCACGTTCCACGCTCACAGCACTCACGTTCCCGTTCCACGTGGCTGGCCGGTCAGTGGAAACAGACCACAAGTGCCGTGCGTGTTAGGGGCCACGCAATACCCGACGGGCCAAGCCACGACGCCGGTGCTTGCACTTTCGGTCTAGAACGAGTAGCGTTACAGGCGTGTCATGACGAAAGTGGCCCCTAGACGGAGAGGAAAAACTCCACTGATGATATGGGTGTATGGCAGTGGCGACATCTCGAGCCCGGCCACCAAGTGTGGTCGGTCCCATTGTGGATAAATGCTTCTTCTACAATGTACACTTTGAAAATGTATGCTCAATTATTTACTCATCACATTGGTACCCGTTATGCATACATAAAATATATATTGCAATGTAGTTACTTCACGTTGCAACTTAAAGGGAGTGTCCCTCATTTGCGTGAGGTTTTTAACTAAACTTGCATGGGCTTTTTAACTAAAATAGCCGTTTCGGAGATAATTTGGCGCATTTCACGGTCTTGCTCTCCTTTAGACCTAAAACCCTCTCATTTCCGAGCTACACGTCGGCGAAGATGTGCTGATTATCTCGGGGTGACTATTTCAAGATCACCTAAGCATCCATGACGTCATCAGAACGTCACTGAAATTCCGTCATTTCACTAGCCATGTTGCGATCAAGGGCAAACAATATCATTGTCGAGTCGTTCATGTCTGGCGTTCGTAAGCACGATTTCCAGACATAACGGCTGTCAATTGCCTTTAAAACAGTGTCGTGCAAGATATGATGACGTCATCAAAGAACATCATGTCGAGGAGTATATTTGTTCAACATGGCAATCTTTTGCCGAGTTTATTGGATCATATATGATTTTTACTTCAATATCTTCAATGTGAAACATATATTCAATATATATATATATATATATATATATATATATATATATATATATATATATATATATATTGAACTGTTTTCATGAGGTGGGGGAGGCAATGCGTATTAAATGTATTCCCAGAATAATATGGCAACGGTCTAGGAATACATGGAATAGTCGGTGTCTAACATGAAAGCGCGTTAACTGTTTCCGCTTGATCTGGTGAGAGTACGGATGCGTTTTTGCAAGGGCTAAAGAAGCTTCCGGCCCTCCCCCCCCCCCCCTCACTCCACAACTACAGCGCCGGAAAGGATGTGATCGGTCAGGAACTATGAAAGGTTGGCATTAGACAGCAGGCTCCAGTACCCGGCGGGCATAAAACAATGCGTTCTTTATCCCCGTGGGCAGAGCGCTAGACTCGCTAGCCCACGGGTGACACGCACGTGGGATCACATCACACGCAGCGCCTGTGAGATTCGCCTTTGATGAAATTGCAGCGCTCGTGTGCACAACGCTCGTTCGATTTGTCTTCACAACGAACTCTGCTTAGTGAGTACCCAGATCACAGAGCCATCTCATCCAACAGTGGGCTGGCATGTCTTCCAACACTGCAGACCGGGAGGCTGGCACTGCACACTTCGGTGCACCAATTAAGTGGGCATGACGGTATGCGTTGACTGACCGCGCTCAAAACACAACAGTGGAAGGCAAACAGCATAGCGAAGTGGGGCTTAGTGGCATCGTTGTCAGGACACGTGAGCATATCCGACATGTGTACGGTCTCATGACACTGGACCCCCTGGCAGTCAGCAGGTCAGATGTTCGTAACGTCTTTACCGCCCATCCGGGTCGGTTTGTCCGTTATCGCCATCAAATGGGTGAATGAGGTAATGACCCTGGATAAGGTTCTTTGACCTGTCCAGCAAACACTGGGTGCTTTGCCTGCTGCCTTGCCCCGAGTGTGTTTTGTGCTTTTATGACTGTATGTGCAAAGATGTGCACCAGCCTGGTGGTGCGCAGTTAACTATTCTTATCACCATCGTTCTTTTTATTATTAGAGCAGGTGACGTTCAGAGTGGTCGAAAAATGATGCGAATCAAAAACCATGTAATGCCTATCACTCCCGAGAGCTCGTAAGCGTAATGCGGCAGATGAAGTTCTGAATTTAGTCAAATTCTTTCTACGGCAGGCTTAGTTAATGGTCGAGTAATAATGATTCAAATGGTCTTTTTCGCAGTTTGCTGAAGCCGACATTGGAGTTTTACGACTGCACTCTGCTGCTGAGGCTTTGTGAAGTAGCGTGTTACTCGTCCTGGCAGGAAGGGCGGACACCGCTGGGAGTCGAACCCCAGACGCACAGCGGTTAACGCAGACGCGATAACCGCTACGCTACGGGCCCCGCCGTTTGTTGTGGAACGGCGGCAAAAGCCGTGGTGCAGATGCTGTGCAGCCATAGGCGAATATCTTTTTAACGTGACTATTACAAAAATTATATTGATTGACAGTTTGACGCGATGAAGTTTTCTGAATGAAGTCGGAACGCAGCCGACGAAGCGCCGAATGAAGTTGTTGCAAATCATGGTCTTGTGCAATACATGTTGCGTAGCGAACTGTAATGGCCCAAGCCAACATGTCTCGCTGACCTTAGCGCCTGGCTCAAGGAAACCTGGAAAGGAACGTTTTCCGTTCATCCATTAGAACGCAGCTCTAGCCATGATTCGATTATGACTCCTCCCGAAATAAGGTGCAGGTTCGCGCCGGCACGCACCTGAGTGGCGCACCACTCCACCACCAATGCCCAGAAGGCGGAAACTTTCGAGCGGTTCACCGTTCGCGCCGCTACTTTCTCGGTCGGCTGTGGCCGGCGACAGCGCGCCGGCTGCCGAGATCAACGGCGCTCTGATCCCAGAGGGCTGCCGCTGGCTGGCTGGCTGGCTGGCTGGCTGGCTGGCTGGCTGGCTGGCTGGCTAGCTGGCTACCGCCGCCGTGGTCCGGAGGCACCGTTAGAGTCCGGGCGGAGCGCTGCGCGCTGCCCGTCAGCGTTCCGGCGGCGCCTAACGGACCCAGACGCCCTCGTCCTCTCTCCCTCACCTCGTTAAACTTGCTGCGCTGTTGTGGTGTGAGTTTCTCCATGGTGGCGGTGGCGCTGCCTGTGATGAGAGCTGGCGGCAGTGCCCAGTCCAGCACCGGAACGCGCCCACTGACACGAGCACGCCGCGCTGCCTCTAACGCAGCGTGTGCTGCCGCCTCCTCAGCCTCGCACGACGCACTGAGCAGCGCCGGCCGCCACCGCCGCTGCCGCCGCCACCGCCGGCCCCGGACGCCCGGAGCACGCTGCTCCGCCGGGCATCCGACCGCGACCTTGAAACAGCGGCTGGGGTCAGCCTGCGAAGCGACAGGTGACACAAGCTCGTGCAGGTCACACCGGCCCAGCCTCAGTGTCATGTGTACGATGAACGGCCCACTGATGAACAGACTCCACACAGGAGAGAAGCCCGACCGGATCTGGTAGGGTAGGGTTTGATAGTCCATCGCAAACATAGCTCTTGATGGTAACGTTTCGATCATCTCGGCTTGCTCCGAAATCCTGTTTTTGTTTTGCATGATGCGACAAAAAAGACCAAATGAACAGAGCCGGGCATCCCAATGAGTTTCCCATAATGATGATGCGTAGAATGGATTGCCGATCGGCCCGTTTTTCACATTACTCATTTAAGACATTCACGAAACCTATCTTACAGGCGCTGGAAGACACACTGCACGCGGTGCTGGTTCTCGGAGCAAGGTATTTCCAGTTTAAAAAACGTTCCTTTTGGAAGGTCGGAAGCTCTTACAGATGGAATATTGGTTCCCAACGTGGAGATACGTGATCGATGTTCACGTCTTGCATTCGGTGCCATTTCCAGAGAGATTTCAAAGAACTATCCAAAAACATTGTGCGTAAAAACTCGGTGTCATAGAGTTGCATTATATAATTTAATCATAGAACATACAGATACACCAAGTTGGTAAAAATCCAATGTTGTCAACATTCGTCTCGAAATGTTTCTATCCGCACAGAGAGACGTTCCAAGGCGCGTGGGCTGCCACCTACCGCAGTCTTTCTGCAGAATCAGCTCACCCAGTGCTGGCCATCTCTTGATCAGCTGACCTAGTGCTAGTCATCTCTAATCAGCTAACACAGGTAGCTCATTCCCAGCACCTAACGTCCATTTTCCGAGACCATCTAAAGCTTTCTGTTCACCTATTAAGTAATTTTCTTGTATCACCAGTTTGTATACTACCACATTAGCAGGACATGGCTGTCGCAACACATCAAGCTGTTGGGTAGGTCCTTTAGGTCACATTTGCCTGTTGGGTAATCACATTGACAAGCGATTACCCAACAGGCAAATTGTTTTCTCTTAAATTGCTACACTCATCGCCATAACAACCGGTTTCGTTTTCAGAAACGGTTCTAATTTCTTGCACCCTGAAAAACATTACTTTCATGGTTCTGGCCATTTCCCCAGATGGGAAAAACACTTCCCTGGCTTCCCAGGACACGCAACTGGCGGCACGCTATGCAGTGCACAGAAGAAAAAAAAAACGATGCGAAATCTGTAGCGCACGTGGAAATTGCGTACAGCGAAATACCTGGACCCTTTCGTTCGCACAGGATTGCTGATATTTCATAGACGGACCCTCTGATCGACATGTGCCGCTCCGCCCTGTTCCTGGCATTTCGCCACGGCCAGCGATGGCTTGTGTGGCCCCTGTATGTTGGGGCCGCCTCAGCGGCGGGCTGGGGCGACATCAGGCGTTAGGAGCTCCTGTCGAGGACCGCATACCGGCGAGAACTGGCACGCGGTGCCTGTGCTGGGAGTAATCCCCTTGCGCGGGAGACCCATTCTCGGCAGCCATGACAGCCCATAATGGCCGCAGGGCCGCGCCTGTCGGTTTTCACTCACGCACGCACGCACGTTCGTACGCACGCACGCACGCAGGCACACGCACAGACACTCATACACACACGCGCGCGCGCGCGCACAAACACCGAATTTCACCAAATTGGCTCTTACGCTACCATCTTTTACGGCCGAAATCTGTTGACTAAGCGAATCCGCATGTAACTGGTAGACTTAGTTCGGTTCGATCCCACCTAGCCCCGGGCGTGCACCTGGCGGTCGCCGGAAGGCGGCGCGGCCGGTTTTGTGTAAGCCAGCCGTCCCGTGAGGCGACACGCGGTCAAACGCTCCCAGGTGTGGGCTTCGACTGAGGCGAATGTTGAGCGTTCTCACCGGCGACAAAGCGCGGGTAACAAGCCCTCGCCGCCGGCCGGCGATCTGCAGAGATCATCAAACACTGACGAAGGCGTCTGCCCGCCTCATTACTGTCAATGTGGGTGAGCTAGCTGAAGTAACTCGGGCACGAGCGATAGCGAAGCAAACCTTAAAGCAGGCTTAGGAACGGAAAGTGGAGGGGGACATTGCCACCGGCTTTTCGCGGAGTTGGTTCATCACTAGTCTGGTGGCGAGGCATGGAGAGCCCACTTGACGTTTTGTCCATCGTTAGATTCGTCTCCAGCACATGCAGCCCGTTCATGGCCTCCAGTGACTGCCGTGTTTGGTGACGGTCGCTTCTAAGCCATATTTGCTTCCCTCTTATCCAGATCCGCTTCCTGTGACTTAGTGATGGACGGCTTTCCAACTACATTACGCCAGAACAGCATTTCATGTAGGCATGAAGGTAAAGACAGAGGAAACTCGAGGCGTTCATTCCCATCATATGTGCGAATGATCTAGCCTATACTTTACACGGACACTGCCGCGGTGCACTTTGGCACGAACGGCACATAACCGATATTACGCCAATGTCACCGGGATGAAAAGGCGCGAGTCCCTGAGAGTTCGCTTATAGATGGCAAACAGAATGTCACGACAGAAAGGAATACAACGGACGTACGCATTCGGTGCCCAGCGCCAACAGCGTCACAAAAACCTGGAACAATCTAGGGGGATTAGGCGTGCCACAGCTGCGTTTTTTTTGTTTTTTGTTCGAGAACGCCCACTCGCGACCAGGAAAGGGAATTTTCAACCACTGCATGCAGAGCAAGGTAAGTACTGTCATGTGTGCACATTTTCTACAGCTAGCGGCACGGTTACGATTACGATGAAATGCCGTCGTCGCACGGCTGTCATTACGGTGTTCTGCTCCCCTCGCCCCCCCCCCCTCCCCTCAGCCTCAACTTCAGGCCCGTGAAGACCAAAACTTTGCACAAATAGTGGAGTGTAGAACAAACGGTTGACAACGCAGTTAAAGAAGCGATTTGCAGTAGGATCAACTCTTTCAACGTACGCCCCCGAGCTCCTCCGCGTCTCACTCCGCTTCGTCCCGTTAAGGATCACGGGCTTCGCCTCGTTTAACATTTGCTTCGCTTCGTCTCGTCAGAGACCATCAGCTCCGCCTCATTACAGACTCTGCAATGGTTGTGGTTCCGGACGGCCAAGCAGCGATGACGTAAGCCGTCTCCAACAGGCGTGAAACACATTGGGCCCCAGTCAGCAAAATGTCAATCATCTGTTTACATCGCTTGCTATTTTGTTCCATGACGAAACATGATAAAATAATGTATTTTGCCGCCATGGGCCACACACGTTACACTCTTCCTCCAAGCTAGTCTGTCCAATGGTTGCCAACCTGGAATCCACACCACACAGACCGCCACCACCCAGCAGTCGGTGCATCATGCGGACGTGATTCCAGAGCCGGTCAGAACACTAAAGGGCGACGGACAGCCGTCGAGCCACGACACACCCCACGGTCCCGCATACCAGAGCTGCCGGCCATCAATGGCCACGGCGTGCTCAGCTCGCCCAGCCGTCGGAACAGATATCGTCTGTATGAACGCCCCCGGCAATACGTGCTGCCATCTTTGTATCCATCAAGTGACTAGACCTTAATGATAGTGGCCCCTAGATGGTGGAAGCGACCCATTGGCGACTTTAGGTTGGCGTATCATAATCGCGCAAACGGAACATAATTATGCATTCATAGGCTGTTCAAAATTATACGTAAACCTGCAGTATGCATCCCATAATGAAATCCCGTTACAAACTAAGGCTACGCAGAAGACTAGACCAGTTCATTGTGAGAAACAAACTTACTTTACGAGCGCGGCTGACTCGCAAGAGCACGTAAGCACCTGCCTCGCCTCCAATCAACACATAAACATGTTCGAAACATCAACATTCGGCGGCATATGAGCACACTTACAATCTCCGATCATCACAGAAACTGCGGCATCAGCCTCACATATGAAAAACCTACCACAGCTTTCCACGACAGAGGGGGGCAACGACAGGAACCGCTCGTCCGACCAGCTCCCGCCGAGCATGACGTGCGCACATTCTACTTTTAAATTTTTGTCATCACCCACAATGCCAACCATAATCAGTGAAGCATACCCCAGTAAAAGGAGCAAGGATATCAGCATCAATATAATCACTGCAGAGATTGATTCGTCCGAAGTGCAAAGCAGCCTATTATAATTCCTGCCTGCCAAAACGTTTCCCCTGCCTTTAAGACGCAACGCAAACCAACTGCTCCGTATGGTTCTGTTTTTGTCCACCGGCGGTAACAGAGACGATCAGCGCGGCAAGCTGACTGCCCCTCCCTGACAGATGGCTGCGTTAAGTAGGACAGATCGTCTACACCGTGCGTCCCAACCGTGAACCGAACCAGGAGCAGCGTCAGCCGACCAAACGCGCGTCACGCCCGTGGCAAGCCGTGCTGCCGGAGACCGCCGCTGCAGCCGCGGCGGCGAGAGACGCGCCAGGCGAGCCGGCGGCGCGGACCGTGGCCGCCATCACAGCTCGAAGATGTCGTTGTGCCGCGTCTCGGTGCGGCGGCGGGCGGCCTCGAGACGCCGCGAGCCGCGCACGGCCGTGGTCGGCACGGCGGCCGGGTCAGTCGGCCGGTACAGGCGGTCACGCAGCCGCGAGTGCGCCGGCCGCACGAACAGCACGTCCTCGTCCGTCTCCGAGAGGCTGCCGGCCGGTCGGTCGGGCAGACGGTCAGACAGGCGCGACAGTCAGGCGGCCCGCGACCCACACACACGCGTGCTCTGGTGTACGGTGAGCTGGCGAGAGCACGGCCGATAGCACAGTGGCACGACACGTTTTAAGACCGGTATGGCTGAAGTGATCGACCAACAGCGGTCGCTCAGCGTCGCTCAGGGGTGCAGTCGCACAGCGCTGAACAAAGCCGAAAGCCGCCACTTAGCAAAGCGGGCGGGAGCGAGGGAACTGGCATGCGATAGTGACCTTTCCCGCGCCAAGCAGCTGCTCAACAGTCACGAAAGCATGCCAATTACAGCAGAGCATGAAGAAATCTGACCTAATATAGCACATGTCACACGGCGGATTCGTCAAAGTCGTCGTTAAAGTTATTCCACTTGGTTCGCGCGAACGCCACCGCCTCGCTTCCCCAACTGAAAGAGAGGCGACAGACGCTGTAGAACCTGGTGTGAAGAAACGTCTCAAACTGGACGACGGCACATCTAATGCAGTAGGCAGCCCGATTCATTTGGCACACATGACCTGAGTGTATCCAAAGCAACCCCGGTGTTGTCTGTCCCCATGTCATCTCAAATCACATCTATGGTACATGCAAAAAGTAAGACCAACGAGGCCGCTGTGATAGTTCCAGCACACGCCCCGGGGATGGTCCGGGAACGGCCAGATGTTTGCCTTACAAAACTAGAGGGGGCATAGATACTTCGACCTGCGTATCCAGGTATCTGTGCTTCGATCTGGGGGGAGGGGGAGGGGGGGGGGGGGGCAGAATGTGAACGTTAAGAAGGCGTAGTAGAAGTCAACAAAGTTTACCCAGCATGGACACTTCAAGAACATAACATACATAAAATTTCCAATCTTTTCCCAATATCTTGACAAGAACGCTGTCAGCGGTTTAGTGTGTGTATGTAGATGGTCAAAACATTGCCTCACAATCTCACGTCATATTTACATTTCCCGAAAATAGGGGCTGCAATATCAAAGCCCACTCCATCATTTATTAGTTAGTGTCATTTCCAACATGAGTGGCCGTAGCATCATTTACATGGTCATGTTAACTGCATTGGAATGGGTTTGAAAAAACAAAACACCCTAATAATTAAGCTAACAAACACATGTCAAATGAAAGGACTTAGGGGTCATCATAACTGAAATGAGGGCCATGGGTATAAGTGGGATTTTGAACTATTTTGCAAAGCCTCAATCCTATATTCTACACAATGCTCTAAACAATCAAGAAAGGGTCATTAATGACACAAAGCCAAACACATGATGGCATGCAAACTTTGCCTCCAATGCAGTCCAGGATGTGCAATTAAATCATTCTTAAAATCATTTAGGGATAGGCTCTCTCTCTCTCTCTCTCTCTCTCTCTCCTTACTCTCTCTTCTCTCTCTCTATCTCTCTCTCTCTCTCTCTCCTCTCTCTCTCTCTCTCTCTCCTCTCTCTCTCTCTCTCTCTCTCTCTCTCTCTCTCTCTCTCTCTCTCTCTCTCTCTCTCTCTCTCTCTCTCTCTCTCTCTTCTCTCTCTCTCTCTCTCTCTCTCTCTCTCTTCTCTCTCCTATCTCTCTCTCTCTCTCTCTCTTCTCTCTCTCTCTCTCTCTCTCTCTCTCTCTATCTCTCTCTCTTCTCTCTCTCCTCTCTCCTCTTCTCTCTCTCTCTCTCTCTCTCTCTCTCTCTCTCTCTCTCTCTCTCTCTCCTCTCTCTCTCTCTCTATCTCTCTCTCTATCTCTCTCTTTCTCTCTCTCGTCTCTCTCTCTCTCTCTCTCTCTCTCTCTCTCTCTCTCTATCTCTCTGTCTCTCTCTCTCCTCTCTCTCTCTCTCTCTCTCTCTCTCTCTCTCTCTCTCTCTCTCTCTCTCTCATGCCTAAAAATATGCCAGTTGCAACATGAAAATACAGCCAAATGACGACTATGCACGCGAAAGACACGTGTCACGCACAGCAGCCGTGGCATACATAAACCCTTACATGTCAGATGTATGACGAAGGAGACACATTCCACTAGCTGCGGAGCACAAAGACCAGGAACTATCAGCCAACTACAGCAGCCATGCAGGGTCTAGCCTGACCGGGCGCCGCTGTGGCGCGCCCCAGCCGCCCGACCTCACCAGCCGACCACTCACGGTTGGCAGGTCTCCAGCTTCTTGACGCTGCGCCGGCTGCTGGCGATGACGCTGTCGATGTTGCTGAGGAAGTCGGCGGCGCTCTGCTCAGACTTGTCGAGCTCTGTCTGCGAGCTGGTGCGGTGCAGGCCGTTGGTGCGCGTAGAGCACGAGGAGGACGAGTGGAGGCTGTCGAGGCTGGTGGAGCCCGACAGCACGGCGCCCTCTGGCGCCGATACGTCGCCCGGTTCCAGCGGGACAGGCACCAGCAGTGTCCGGCGCAGGTGCAGACTGTCGTTGGTCCACAGCCGATTGGCCCGCTTCAGCTGCTCCATCTGCCAGAACACAGTGTGACATGGTGCTGTAACATGTGGTCACTGTTGGTATGACCTCTGGCATACATTGAATGAAGAAGGATTGCTTCTAATGAAAAGAAGCCATTTTAAAACCAATCTGTGTCCACTGCAGTGTCTGGCCATGAGTCCGGAATTTCTGAGAGCAGAGTGAGCAGAGGAGGCAAACCTTATTGCAGAATGCAGAAAACCTGACACCCTTGACCAGATATGTGCCTGACCCTCCCCCCCAAATCCCAGGATCTCTTAAGCATGGAACCCTACAGAATCCTGCACACCCTTAGGATCTAGGCACATGTGTGCCCTTAACATTACTGAGGTAATACTTTCACTTTCTTGGAATAATACATCCTTCACACTCAGCCACACTGCTGGATACATCATTCAAATAACAGCAAAATTTGCAACACACATTTGAATGACATTATTTTGAGAGCTTCATATGGGATGCAACATACAGATTATATAACACAAATCAACATTTTCTGTAACAGGACCTATTTTTTGGCCAAAAATTCCTTCCTTGCTGTGTCATAGGCCTATGTGCACTCTCTACCCATTTTGAAACTGATTGGCATTAAATAACATACCTATGTACTCAAATGAACAAATAAAATTAATGAATAACAGTGCTTTCCAAACATCCTGTAAAATAATTATCAGAGAAAGACATGCAGCATACAAAAACTGAGCACCAGTTATACTGTGGTGTTGGCAGAACAATTCATGTCATGAGTGTAAATTTCACTAAAGCATCATTTTCAGGAGGGAACGAGACCAAGCCTATTCAGCTTACATTAAATGCTGGCCAAAAATATGGTTTATATGTTATCTTGGAATACAGTCTAATAGTGTTTTCTTGAGATTAAGCATAAGATGTGGCTCTATGCTCTAACCAGCTTGCACAAAATGCATCTACTGCACTGAATGCCTAGGCCACAAAAGTGTGATGAACCTTGTACCTGTGTGCACAAAACTTGGGCCACAACACACTGAGCTGAATTATGAGCACTTCAAAGCAAAAACTGTTTGAGTGCAATTTTGCACACCACTTTTAACTCAGCATCTTAACTCTTCCAATATTGGCTTTTGTGCACTGGAATTGGTGGCATTGAGAGCCAAACTTGGAGCACAGGACTTTTCGGAGTCGGTTGACTAAAATCGTTAAATCTTGACCACCTGTCATTCCTACCCTGGACATCTATTTTTTTGGCAGATTGGCCTCTGACCCTCCCATACCCTGAGCACCCACACCTCACTGTAAAACCACATCTTGAGTTGCCCACATTTTTTTAGCTACAAAATTTGCATGCATCAACAGTGCATACAATGCACATCTCATGTTTATGACATCTTTATGAAAAATGTAATATATAGTTACTATCACAATTAATCATTGGTCTGCACTACAATGTGGTGCATTACGTATTAAAAACATTCTGAATGCATTAAAAGCATCCTGAATGCATTAAGAACATCCTGAATGCATTAAAAACATCCTGAACGCATTAAAAACATCCTGAGTATGTCCCCATATTGATCACGTTACGATGCTCATGATAGTGCGCCATAAACGAAACACCTTACCGTGACGTTGTGTTTCAGAGAAATGCCCTGCAGCGTGTCCCCAACTTGCACTTCATAGGTAATAAACCTTTCAGGCTTCTTTATATATGTTGATGTACTCCCATACTTGCGCTGATCCTTGTTAAACGAAGAGATTAAAGACCTCTCCTCATCATTCGAGTACGCCATTTTCGTCTCATTCAATGTCGCCAAGACAAGCATTCTGAAATCACCGAAACAGCTGATTCCCATGTCACGTGCCTGCCTCACTCCCTATTTAACGGCAACTAGGACGAACTCGCATTATTACGGGATACACTTTGGGTAACGACACTTCTCGAGCAAGTTGAAGGTAAAATCAAGTTGCATCAGAGTGAAGAGAAGGTACCTACTTTTTTAGATGGCAAGTGTCTTAACATGTACCGTCGACACACAAATGCCCCACTGCTGCAGTGTAAACGATGCACTCATGCATCTCCGCAATATGTTCACTCGGTAACGTGTATGATACGATTATTTGCAGCAATTCGTGACAACGGTTCTACCCGCATCGTTTACCAACGATTTGGTACAGCTGGGATATAGCTGGTAACTAGCATGCACTTACTTGCCAAACACTTGACAATAAAAAGGGCAAAACTATTTGGTTTTACTAGGAATTCCGATCCCATTTCTTGCATCGCCGTACTGAAAACACCACAGCGAAGAAATATCTTACCAAAGTTTGAACGCCTGTCGGAGCTCTGCGTTCCGCATCACACAGAAGGAAAAGTAAGAGCTGACCCACTTAGCGTGTGCTAGTGACCAGGGACATCATATAACGTAAGCAAATCGTCGACGGGCCAACCAAAACAGACCATCTGAGCTCTGTCATTGGATGCAAACATAAAACAGAACCCTACACTGCCTGGGCCGATCCCGATTGCGATCCCGATTCTACGAGCGCTGTGCTAAAGCGATTGGCAGCGGTAAACTCACTGTCCCTGCATGATCTCCGACTGGATTGCTGCGTCCTCCTTCTACCACGTCTTCTGGAGGGGCTGCCGTATGCATGCTGAAGACCGCAGCCGCCCGCACGTGCTCTAGTGTGAGCTCCTTGTCACTGACGTCGTCCGGACTCCCCATCTTCGTCAGCCGTCGGTCTCCACTGCGAGCCCACTTTCCCAACGCGGTAGCTCTCTCTCTCTCTCTCTCTCTCTCTCTCTCTCTCTCTCTCTCTCTCTCTCTCGCTCACACGCACCCTGTCCGCGCGCGCTGGGCGGCGCACTGCGCGCCAAGGCGCCGCCGGAGTCACGCGCCCCGCTCAAGGCCGGTCACGGCCGGACTACCTGCCCGACCGGTGGGCGGGCGGCGGGCGGCGGGCGGCGTCGCACCTGACACACCGGAGGCCGGGCCGGGTGACACCGGTCGAGCGGCCGGCCGTCCGCTGCCTCACGCCGCCTGCCCGGCCGTCGCGATGGAGGCGCGCTCGCAGAGGGGCGGTCGGCTGGGAGCGTGGGTCGGCTCTTATCGGCGCCTCCTCACGGCTATCGCCGTTCGACGGTCAGAAGCAGGGCACGTGTGATCGACGTTCGAGCACCTTCGAAACGGCTGGTCTTTTACGGCTCCGATACGTCAGACGACAAGACGGAGAGGAAATTCAAAACGTAGCGACATCATGCCGTTCGGAAGTTTAGATCCAATTATTTTACTGTTACCAAGAGACAAACCAAATTTGGAGCGAGGTTCGCGCATGATTTTGCATCGTTCATGCGGTGCTCTTTTGGTATGATGAAACGCGACTGAAAATTCCTCACTTTGCTGGGTAAGCATTTTATACCTTTGGAAGGCACTTGGGTTGCTCGTCAACGTTCGTCGTGTCTAATTCAGCAACCACAAATCATCAACAGAATACGTCAATCGGCGCTAAAGGAATTGCCTGTCATTTGAAGATATTGAAACAATCATCAGACATGGTGAAACAAGCTCAGTGCTCAACTCAGATGGAACAGCTGTTGGCCTACTTTTTACTGTCAAGACTACTCTAGACAGCACAATTCTCCGTTTAATGAATATATTCTTAAATGTGTCCAGCTTTGATTACACCATGGTGCCTTGCATCACCTTGATTGAGAGCCAATTGATGGTCGTAGGATCCAGAAATCCCGTTCACGATCGCCAGATCTGAACGCCTCGGCGATTATATTTTATGCCGAACTGTAGTCTCAATGCCAATTATTGGACACCTGCGACGATAAGGGATCTTTTACATCAGCGTGGGCCTGCGTCTATTTGGGAACAAATGGCCGGATCAGGGGACCTCCGGCATCAGGGAAACCACCAATGTATGATGTGTCCCTTTAAGGGTTTGGCATTGACCAGGGGATCCCGTCCCTGTATCACTGGCATGGCAGCCGGCAGGCATCCCACGCTGTGACCGAACGACTGAAGCCCCTGAGCGGGAAATAAAATGTGTTCCCTTTTGGTCTACCCACTGGTTCCCTTGCCCATAGAAGAAAAGGGGTTTCCCTAGTGTTTAACAGGGCGAATCACAATGAGGTCAAAAATGAAAAACGCCAACACAATTAAGGCGTCCACCCTTGTTCACGATCATCATGTGAAGCAACTTGCATAAAACAGTTTTGGGCCGGCGTACTCACAACCTTAGGAACAAGAACACCAATGGCCGGGTTTGCAGTCTCCATGCGACCGAGCGCCGTTGGTCACTGCCGCTAACACCGGGTGGTGGGTGTCTGGAGCCCGAGAACAGCCATCGCGAAACAGTGCTGCCAAAAATCTTTGAAAACTATTCGCACCATTAAGAAAATGGACAGCGGCGTATATTGAACTTGAATAATTTTGAGATAATCCTCTGCAGAGATAAACAGCGACAGTAACACGAAAATAGAGATTGTACCTTTAACGGTCTAATCCTACCACCAAATTCTTGCAACGGTTCGCCATGCTATGAATGCTAATCAGTTCATATTAAAAACCCAGAAAATGCACAGATGAAACATGCTCCTGGAGCACTTTCCAAACGTTCCAATTGACGTCGTAAAGCATTCAAAAGTATTTCCTTCATGAACGTTGTCGTTTTCGTCCGCCCGTCTGTCAGCGCCTAGTATTAAACACGAGACCGACGCGGCGCGGCCCACGGAGACTGCAACGCCGGGCGTCAGGGTTTTTGTTGTCAGACTCGCGAGTGCGCATGACCAAAACTTGGAAATGTAATTCTTCCCCTATTTCATGCTCAACAAGTTGAACCAAAACAGGTGGATGTAAATGCAAATTTACGACCTTATTTCGATATAATATCTACGTTCACGATACCCCTGTAGAACACAGAAAAAAGTCGGTACAGTCCCTGAGTGCTATCGGCTTAGGAAGACTCCGCTGACACTTTGTAAATTAATAGGACCGGTGAGTTTACTTTGTTTTATCGACTTCAAAATACAAACAGCATCGTATCTATTGGCGACTCCTTGCTTTTAAGAAGGGCAGAGCTCTCCTCTAAATCAAATGGACCATATCCGATGTTTTTAAGGGGCGGGGGGGGGGGGGGGGCCTTTCTCCAGGACACCAGGCTTAGTCATCCCGGTGTCCCACCCCACAATTACCAAGACTTAAGCTGCGTCCTTGCGTCGGTACACTCACGGAGCACCGAGAATGTGCATGTAAATATCACCCCATGGTAACGAAAAAGCCAGCTCAACTAGCAACGTTGTTACAATCAATCTGCATTACGCATTACATTTATATGACGGGTGTTTCATTTTTGACGCGCTCGAAGTGAAACGGATGAGGGTTACTTTCCCTTGAGAGACGCAACAGCTTGGATCAGTGCCCCCCATATGTATAGCCGGTATATATTTCGTGTTTATTGAAAAGAGCGGAGAAAAGGGATATTCAACAGGAAGGTATCTGCCTGAGCGTATAACTGGAAAGGCTGAAAACCGTGCTCGTAGCTTATGCATGGGATAAACATTAACCGCATTTGGCATAAATTCGTCAGCAATGACATTCACTTAAATGCGTGCGTTTCATCGATGAAATTTTGGTGTGCTGGAAACCTGCGCATAAATGCGTTATGATGGCCACATCTGTTGTGGACACTGGACGATTCTCGTAAACAGATGAATAAGTATACACAAATTCTAAGCACGTAGTAGTAAATTATACACCAACTTCATTTTCCAGCATGCAAGAGAGAGGTGCAGTTGCATCCTTTCAGCTTCACAAAGCATGTGTCTTTACAAGAAATGGATGTTATCTTGTAAGGTTTCCATGCATGATTGCCATGTATGCGTACATGTGCTTTAAAAAGATGTGTAAGCATAGTGTATATTTAGGTATGAATTGTGGTTTTGAATATCTATGTGTATATACATATATGTATATGCATATATATATATATATATATATATATATATATATATATATATATATATATATATATATATATATGACTAATAACCAAAACACTAGGCGCGAGTTCCTAAGGAGTTTTTGGCGCTGCCCCTTTACGCTGACTGCCACGAATCTGGCCCCCCCCCCCCCCAATCATTTCAGACATCGACACCCATACAGGAGGGAGTGAAAAATTCACATAAAATATGGGGAAAAGGAGAGAAGATTTCTCCTTCATAGGGTGTTGCCTTACACCCAAGGTCGGCAATTCTAGGACCCTGCGTGCACGGGACACAGCAAGAGCAGCACTGGGCTTCATCCCGCATCCATCCTAGCTGTGGATCACAGTCCGAGTCAGTGCGGTGCCGATGGCACGTGTGACACCGAGAGCACCGAGGTGCTTGATATACTGGATGATCATGGCTGCCGACTGCGGCTGTCCTTCGTGGTCGCCAATGCCGTTTGCAATATCGCCGTATTCGTCTTCTGAAGGGCACTAGACAGAGCAGGATGCGCCACCTGCCAAGAAACTCTGGCGAGCCGTCGGGGGTCGGACGTCCCCACATTCCACCTTAAGTCACCGTCTGTGGCTGAAGAAGAGCAATGGACTGGTAAATCCCCCGCAGGAGTTGTCAAGAGGTTGTCCTGAATGCTGAGGGGGAGCTCTGCCGCTACATTGTGCAGCTTGGCATGGCTTACCATGCAGTGTCTTGGCGGATGCTGGGGAGTGCAGCGCTGTGCCGCATCGGTACCGGTGAGGTGGGAGCTCCCGGCCGCCACCTCCCGGAAACCCAGTACGGTTTGGAAAACCACCACACCGAGCTGATCAGGGTGCTGGTGGCCCCCTTCCGACGGGTATGTCTTCATCAGCGGGCGAAGCTGCACAGCGTAAGCCTGCAGAGGAACAGCATCTGACAAAAATGTATTGAAGGAGAGCTGTTCATAACACACTGGGCCAGCTGAAGGTGCCGATGTTGTGTATTCATTTGTTCGATGGCGTATCCAACATGTACCCTTTCCCACAATTGCCACGCCTCTCCGATCGTTGGGTTCGTCCGGCTCAGTCCCTGTTCTCTGTCTAGGCTTCTGTTACACATGATCAGGTTTTGTGCGACGTTTCATCGATGATATGTACCAGTTAGCTTTATAATTGCTCGTAATTTAATTGAAGTTTCTCTGTGGTTTTACAGAAAAGTACGCGCTAATGCTTGATATTTTTGTCGGAGGAGTTAGTTGCGCCTCGCAACAGTCCGGCGGGCGGCGCGCATACCTGGAGCCAGCCAGTCGAAATGGAGGGCTCGTGAAGAACACCTTTGGAAGAATGGCAGATCTGCTGCAGCTACATTATTGATCAGTTGATGACAATGTTGAATCAAGGAGTGTTTCGGCACAATGAAATCGGTAAAACACGGACCTCATGCATTGCCAGGCGATTAATATGTGCATTAGAATACAAGACGTCATGCCATGTCAGATAGTTGAAATATGAGTTTGTGTTATCGGGTATATCTTTTTCCGTCACTTACTGTGATAATTCTCGCTGTGTGGGTAACAAGCTGGTCTTGACTGCCCGCAGGTATTCATTTCATTTATAAAAAGCTGGCTAACCAGTCCCAGATCTTGATGGGCGCTTGCTCGTGCGCCCAATGATATCTGAGCGTGGCAAATACTTGTGCTCTTCGTCTCTTTGTGAAGACCGTGGAGTGGGCGAAGGCAATGGAGGACGACATATCACGCCGCGCACGATGCAGCTTCGGCAGCAACTCGTACGTTGGCGCCACATACGCGGCTGCCGGCGGTGGTCACCGGCAGCACCACCGCGGCACCATGTGCGTCACCGTCCGTCCCACGGCAGTATCAGATGTCGCGCTCCGGGACCCCCATCGCGGGATCCGGCACAAAGGCGGGTGAACCCCATGCCACTCACCACATGAACGCCAGGTAGAACGTTAGTCTCGCCGATGCTTGGCGTGAGCGCGGCGGGGCCGCCCGGCCCAGCGGCGGCACCGCGTCGATCGGCACCAGCGGTGGGCCCGCACTCCCCGGACTTTTCGAACGGGTATCACCCGCACCATACCGGATACGACTGCAGCCGACCGCTGCGGGGTTCTAGAGCACCAGGTGGATGGGAAGATAGCGGCCCCCACCATCGCTCGGTACGGGCACGGCGAGCCGTCCACGCAGGCAGCGGCCGTGGAGGTCGGCGGCGCTAGGCGCGGGCACGGCAGCCGTCCACGCAGGCAGCGGCCGTGGAGGTCGGAGGCGCTCGGTACGGGCACGGCGAGCCGTCCACGCAGGCAGCGGCCGTGGAGGTCGGCGGCGCTCGGTACGGGCACGGCAAGCCGTCCACGCAGGCAGCGACCGTGGAGATCGGCGGCGCTCGGTGCGGGCACGGCAGCCGTCCACGCAGGCAGCGGCCGTGGAGGTCGGCGGCGCTCGGTGCGAGCACGGCAGCCGTCCACGCAGGCAGCGACCGTGGAGATCGGCGGCGCTCGGTGCGGGCACGGCAGCCGTCCACGCAGGCAGCGACCGTGGAGATCGGCGGCGCTCGGTGCGGGCAAGGCGAGCCGTCCACGCAGGCAGCGGCCGTGGAGGTCGGCGGCGCTCGGTGCGGGCACGGCAGCCGTCCACGCAGGCAGCGGCCGTGGAGGTCGGAGGCGAGGATTTCCACTAACGGGTAGCTCGTTGAACAGTGAAGTACAAGAAATAGGTGGGCCAGGAACGTTGACATACAGCCGGACCTCGTTTTGCCAATTAAGATCGGCACCCACTAGCTTAAATTTTTGACTCTACGGTCTTCCATAGAGACCTCGCCCCATACGTTGCAATGGCTCTGTGAGAGCTAGTCCATGTTTCTTGACAGTGCCAATATGGTGGCCGGCTTTGCGCACGCACCAGCAAACGGACCACTCCATGGAGCTGTTCTGTCTAGCCCTGTCTGGCTATGAGTGCATTGCATAACAAACCCTGCTGGTGCTTCAATTAGCTGTTGAAGCAGAGTATGGGGCAGCGGTCAGTCCACGTTAAGCAACAAACCTATGGCATCTATCACTTGTTAATGAAGTAGATGTATGGGATAAGCCCTTAACATGTTGATGACGTAGATGTGTGGGATTAACCCTTAACAATCTGCATTCATTTCTTGCCAAAGCTGATTTTGCGTTCTGTCCTCCAGTGGTTACCAAACATATCAAATCATATCTAAGCACTACCTCAGTATTTGTTTCTGCAGCACGTTAGCACAGCTCCCAAAGCATCGTTATTGCTATGTGCCCAAGACTAGCATATCTGGACCAGAAGCCGAGACTACCAAAACTAGTATGCCGTTTCCTTGCGGAATAACGCAGTCCTGATACCACCGACGAGCGGCGCGCGCTCGCCCACGTCCGCCGTCCGGCCGGTGTCCGCTCCTCACCAGGATATTCACCTCGCTAGGTGACGGTCGCGTGGTGGCTACGATGTGTCGTGTGGCCAATCCCGCGGAGATTGTCCGTCTATGGATGCCCTATGACGTCTGATTTCTCCCGTTTACCGCAGAGACTCTTTGCGAGGCGCACTTTGGCCGTGGGAAAAGGAGTATCAAATGATCCATGTAATGTTCTAGTTCAAACTTCAGCCAACCAGCTCCCGGTTAACCCGCACTTGCCCGCTGGGTCAATCACAGGCCCTCCTTTATTGGCACCAGTAAAGGTGCACCTGGTCATTTGATGACGACAGTGGTCGCCACTGCAGGGAAGCATTGGGTAGTGCTATTGCAAAGCATTGACAGTGTAATTTGGACTAAAAAATGTTTGGAATTACCATCCTTATTATGTCTTGACTGTGCTGTAGTGGCACTGCCCATCAAAGTGGCACTGTTAGTGGAAAGTGGCACTGTCCATCATAGTGGCACTGTTAGTGGAAAGTGGCACTGCCCATCAAAGTGGCACTGTTAGTGGAAAGTGGCACTGTCCATCATAGTGGCACTGTTAGTGGAAAGTGGCACTGCCCATCAAAGTGGCACTGTTAGTGGAAAGTGGCACTGTCCATCATAGTGGCACTGTTAGTGGAAAGTGGCACTGTCCATCATAGTGGCACTGTTAGTGGAAAGTGGCACTGCCCATCAAAGTGGCACTGTTAGTGGAAAGTGGCACTGTCCATCATAGTGGCACTGTTAGTGGAAAGTGGCACTGTCCATCATAGTGGCACTGTTAGTGGAAAGTGGCACTGTCCATCATAGTGGCACTGCTATCATCAAACTAACTAGTCTTGGGGTTTCACTGAAGCCTTCTTTTAAACATGCAGCAAGGTTGGGATATTCTCCTTGAAATTGCATTCGAAATTGTTAATGACCCACTTTTGCCTGGTACTGCATCATGAGCCGAGTCTGTGATGCTGCCAGGCGAGTGTGGTACGGCGTGGAGTCACTGCTACGGTATTAGTAATGCAAACGTGGTCTTATGGGTGCTCCTGGGCTACTGGACCACGATGATTACTGATTACGATGCTTTTGCAGCTCCGCGAACCCAAGAGCCTGCACAAATCTTTGCCAGGCTCGTTCGGCCATACGGTTGAGGTTTCGAAGACTGGCTTCTCTCCGAATACCACCCCAGTTTTTTAAGGAAACGGCACCATATGACGAAGAGTTCGAACTACTCCAAACACGTTGAAAGCCTCAAGAACATTTTGCTCCAAATAGTCAAATGTTTTCACAAATTGCCTTGCCGGATGTTCTGGACCCAATAAAACATCGTTTAACATCCTATGGCTTCATTTCACGATTAGTAAAAATAGAAGTGGCTGTTAAAATCAGCACTACATCATTACACATACCACCAGGCACTGTTCAGCAGAAGCGCGAATAGTCGTATAGTCGGCAGTGCGAACGGCATGTCCCAGGAGCGGAGCGGCGGCCGGCAGTGTCCTCAGAGCGCTCCGAACGGGCGGCGGCCACACTCGCCCCGGGCGCCCCACGCCCCGCGCACCAATATCACATGGCCGGAGTCAGATGTCCAGCAGCTCGGACGCGTCCTTGAGCGTGGCCGCGTCGGTGTGCACGAGGAACATGAGCCGGAACTCCTCCAGCACGGAGAGCTCGACGCTCCACAGCTTCTGCGTACGGATCAGGTTGTTGAGCACGGTGGCGCGCTCCAGGTCCAGCCAGCGCTGCAGCGAACTCTCGGCCTCGGTCAGCTCCAGGTCGGCCGGGCCCCACAACAGGTACTCCAGCACGGCGCGCGCGCGCCGCAGCGCTGAGCCGTCCTCGCGCAGCAGCAGGCTCGCCAGCAGCTCGAACGCGTTCAGCGACGGCACGTCTGGCACGCTGACGCCGCGGCCATCGCGCACGCGCTCCAGCGCGTCTGGCACGCCCAGCATGCGCAGCATGACGGCCAGCGCCGCCTGGCAGCCGGTCAGCTTCTGCCGGCTCTCGTAGTTGCCGTAGACGGCCACCAGGCGGCACTGGGCGTCGCCGTCGGCCTCGGTGGCCACCAGCTCGCAGAGCGACTGGTCGACGAACTGCTGGCCGCGTGCCTGCAGCTCGAGCAGGTGGTGCACGGTCTGCAGCAGCAGCAGGCAGACCTGCTGCTCTTCCTGCTGGCCGCTGATGGTCGGCTGAGACGACACGAGATCCCAGAAGGGCTGCACCTGGACCGGCGGGAACACCCAGACCGTGGCTGCCGGGCGGAGGACGACCGTCAGAGCAGCCACCAGCTGACGTCGACACGTACTCCGTCCAACCAAACCACACACAGTTTAGGTGTCATGTGAATGCTAGAGACCTCACAGTTAAGGTGTCATGTGAATGCTGGAGACCTCACAGTTTAGGTGTCATGTGAATGCTGGAGACCTCACAGTTTAGGTGTCATGTGAATGCTAGAGACCTCACAGTTAAGGTGTCATGTGAATGCTGGAGACCTCACAGTTTAGGTGTCATGTGAATGCTGGAGACCTCACAGTTTAGGTGTCATGTGAATGCTGGAGACCTCACAGTTTAGGTGTCATGAATGGAATGCTGTGAGACCTCACAGTTTAGGTGTCATGTGAATGCTGGAGACCTCACAGTTTAGGTGTCATGTGAATGCTGGAGACCTCACAGTTTAGGTGTCATGTGAATGCTAGAGACCTCACAGTTTAGGTGTCATGTGAATGCTGGAGACCTCACAGTTTAGGTGTCATGTGAATGCTGGAGACCTCACAGTTTAGGTGTCATGTGAATGCTAGAGACCTCACAGTTTAGGTGTCATGTGAATGCTGGAGACCTCACAGTTTAGGTGTCATGTGAATGCTGGAGACCTCACAGTTTAGGTGTCATGTGAATGCTGGAGACCTCACAGTTTAGGTGTCATGTGAATGCTGGAGACCTCACAGTTTAGGTGTCATGTGAATGCTGGAGACCTCACAGTTTAGGTGTCATGTGAATGCTGAGACCTCACAGTTTAGGTGTCATGTGAATGCTGGAGACCTCACAGTTTAGGTGTCATGTGAATGCTAGAGACCTCACAGTTAAGGTGTCATGTGAATGCTGGAGACCTCACAGTTTAGGTGTCATGTGAATGCTGGAGACCTCACAGTTTAGGTGTCATGTGAATGCTGGAGACCTCACAGTTTAGGTGTCATGTGAATGCTGGAGACCTCACAGTTTAGGTGTCATGTGAATGCTGGAGACCTCACAGTTTAGGTGTCATGTGAATGCTGGAGACCTCACAGTTTAGGTGTCATGTGAATGCTGGAGACCTCACAGTTTAGGTGTCATGTGAATGCTGGAGACCTCACAGTTTAGGTGTCATGTGAATGCTGGAGACCTCACAGTTTAGGTGTCATGTGAATGCTAGAGACCTCACAGTTTAGGTGTCATGTGAATGCTGGAGACCTCACAGTTTAGGTGTCATGTGAATGCTGGAGACCTCACAGTTTAGGTGTCATGTGAATGCTGGAGACCTCACAGTTTAGGTGTCATGTGAATGCTAGAGACCTCACAGTTTAGGTGTCATGTGAATGCTAGACCTCACAGTTTAGGTGTCATGTGAATGCTAGAGACCTCACAGTTTAGGTGTCATGTGAATGCTGGAGACCTCACAGTTTAGGTGTCATGTGAATGCTGGAGACCTCACAGTTTAGGTGTCATGTGAATGCTGGAGACCTCACAGTTTAGGTGTCATGTGAATGCTGGAGACCTCACAGGGGGAAAAACGGAGAAAGACATAGCTCGCTCTTGGTCGTCGCAAACACTATGCAACCAGCCCCTTTCTCTCTACCATCAATACAAGAGAATCATGTGTTTGTTGCAAGTAACGACTTAAAGCTACCTCACACGTAAGAGGTCTGAGACGAACCTATTATAGTCAAGGGTGCCGAGACAGGTGGTGAGCTTCCCAGTGGGCGCTAGCAGCAGCGCCTGCACCAAGCGGCCGGCAGTGGCAGCGGCAGCGTCCTGTCGAGCCGACCGACAGCGGCACCCACCTTGCATGGCCGAGGTGAAGGAGCCGGTGCTGGCCTTGGGCAGCAGGTGACCCTGCACCAGGTCGCGGAACTGCGCCAGCGGCGGCAGCGAGGCGGCCGGCGTGGCGGCCGGCTCGCTCGACAGCATCAGCAGCACCGGCTGCTCGCGGTGCTCGGCGCGCAGGAACGCCCGCCGGCCGCAAGTCACGTGCGACTCGGCCGCCACCTTGAAGTGTGTGAACGCCAGCGCTGGGTTGTGCTCCAGCGGGCGGAGCGCAGCCGGCACGGGCCGCCGTTCCGACACCTGGCGGCAATGCGGCAAATTAGTGGTGCGGCGACGCACCGTCCCCGGTGGTAGATGACGCTGCTAGCGCGCCGGACGCACGCCGGGCGCCGGAATGCGCGGCCCTTCCGGACCGGTGTCGTTGTTGTTTGGGTTTCCCGGCGCGCTTACGGTCATGTCGGTTCCAGCGGTGATAAAGACGCCTCAAAAAGACGATCGCACAGACGAACAGGCGAGCGTACGCCTATTGCTTTCATCTCGTTGGACTCACACGCGAGCTGCGCTGAATCAGCGCTCAATTGGAGTGTGATTCGCGTCCACCTGTCAGCCGCGAGCAGCGAGCACTTATGCACCTCCACAGGTGGCCGGCTACACAACAGGCCGGGCCGGGCCGGGTCGGGCGCGGCCGCCGCCGCCCTCACCTGCTCCAGCAGCTGCAGCAGCGCCTCGTGGTTGCTGGCCGTGACGGCGTCGTAGTTCTCCTCCAGGTTGGCGTGCACCACGGATGTCTGCTTTCGCAGACTGACGCGGGACGGGCGCTGCCGCGGCAGCTCCGGCTCGGACACACCAGGTGCGCGCTGCTGGTCGGCACGCACGGGTCACGTGGGCTGGCACTACGTCGGAGGCTGCGGCTTTGGCACGTTTGGGACAAATGCAAAAACCGTGACCAATGCGGCGGTCATGATGTGGTGTGGTGTTTATGTGTTCATGCTGTGATGGAGTGAATGGGACGACCCTGTGTGCTGCTATTTTTAGACCCATTTTTTCAACAGTTGAATGTCATACACGCCGCCTATGCTGACCGGACTATGCCCGGCTCCGCTGGAGACAGCAGGTGTTTGACGTACCTCGTCCGGCTTTTCCTGAGCTTTGGGCGACTCGCTCACAGTTGTCGCCGCTGACAACTGAAAACATGGCAAAACAGGATATTTGAGCTCAGTACAGCGGGATAGAAAGCGCAAGCGCATACCGAACAACGGCATGCCACCAAATGAGTCAAGCGCCCATCACTGAGCGACCGTGAAAACATACCAACGCACAACGGTCTAATAAAAAATTGCGGAAAAATAGGCGCACCTCACAGTTCTTAACAAAGGCCGTTCAAAGCGAACACATCAGCGCTGCTCAGGAAACTGCAAACAAACAACGTGGACTGACCAAACAGCAATGCAATTCTAACATGCGCTCCACTTTCACAGCGCACACATACCTGCAAAACGGGCGGTATGATTCGGCGCTAATCGCCTGAGGCGCTGTCGCCTGTGACGTGGCGTTTACACCGCACGCGGGCGGCCCACCTGCGCCACTCGGACGGCGGCGGCGCGCCGGCGCCTCGCGCCTATCGGTGCCGCGCTCCAAGACCGGCCCCAGTATCGCTGGAGCGGCCGATCGCCGCCGGCGGGCCGCCCGTCACCGGACAAACAGTGCGAGTGGCAAACAACGGCCGCCGCTGGCACCCTGGGCGGCGGCACCCGACGTGGGGCTCCCGGCCACGTCCACGCGCCCGCTCAGCCTGACCCGGCCACGGCGGCACGTCCTGACGCTGACGGGCCCAAAGGCCGGCGCCAGCCGCGCTGGGATCGGTCCGAGTTTGGCCTCGCTGCCACCTGGCCCCGTGGGGTCGTCTGGGTAGCCGGTCAGCGCTTTTGACGCATCTGGTGCTGGAGTTCCCCACCTGTGGTTTGCCCCTGTGTGCGTGGCTCGACTGACCGGGGGCGGATGCCTTTATAGACCTGGCACACGGTATCGCACTGCTAATGTCGGCGTGACTCTTCTGTCGGTGTGACTCACACTAATATGCCGGTATGACACAACTGCGTCTGGTTCACATGTCCGGTTCAGCCCCTGTGTCTGGTTCATGCTCATGTTCATGATTTAGCTCCTGTTTGGTTCACGTGTCCGATTGAGCCCTGTGTTTGGTTCACGTGTCTGGTTTAGTCCCTGTGTTTGGTTCACGTGTCCGGTTCAGCCCTGTGTTTGGTTCACGTGTCCGGTTCAGCCCTGTGTTTGGTTTACGTTTCCGTTTCAGCCCATCCATTGAGGTTCAGGCGTCGGTTCCAGCCCTGCTGCGTCGAACTGACACGCCTGACGTCACCCACCTGTGTCGTGCTACCGGTGTCGGCGTCGAACACGACGGCGGCGCGCGGCTGCGGCGACTCCTGTCGCACCGAGCCGCCGCGGTCCGGCTTCCGCGGCGTCAGGCCGGCCCGGTTCGTGCCTGTCGGCGGCGTGGGGGTGCGTGTCAGCAGGACGCCGCCCGTCCACGTGCCGGCCGCGGCCCACACGCGGGCGGCGTGGGACGGCATCGGAGGGGCGGCCGCCTCGACGCGGCGAACGGCGACAGCGGGCTGGGTCTGCTCGCTGACGGCTCCATGCTCGGCTGAACGGTCTGCGCGGCACTGGACCGTCGGCCGAGCCAGCCGTCCGGAGAAGTGGCGTCTGCCTCAGCCAGCCGTCCGGAGAAGTGGCATCTGCCCCAGCCAGCCGCCCGGAGAAGTGGCGTCTGCCCCAGCCAGCCGCCCGGAGAAGTGGCGTCTACCTCAGCCAGCCGTTATGTCTGCCTCAGCCTGTCCGCCGTTACATCACGCGCATATTGCGAAGGCTCGTGTTAATTCCATTCTTTCCATGCATCGCCTTGCAGAAACGCCACTTTTTCGGGACACCATAGATAAGCAGTGCCTTTGACACCGTCAGCACGGGTAACTCTACCCATGGCCTTCATGGCTGGGCGTCGACAGTGGAACCGACAGCTCCCGGCGCGGCGCGGCGCCGACGGGCGGCGCGGCGTCTTGTTTGTGATGCGAGTCTTCACACGAAAGCAACGCCCCACACTCTCACCATGCCGAGCCTCAAGGCCACCACAGAGCGGCCGCGCAGCGGGGACATCACTGGGCTGCAGGGCGGGTCGCAGCACCCCAGACGCGCGGAAGGCAGCCGGCCATGGGACGCTGACAACATGCCCCCGTGGCTCCCGTGAGCCGCAGTAGCTGGCCTGGTCCCGTGCAGGTGTGTTTCGCCCGGCACATGTTTCCCAGACAGAAGGACCGCAAAGCTGGACGTTCCCATGCTATTCTGCGAGAAAGCTGGGGTGAGCCAGCAGCTTATTAAGTCATCGCCGTCGTCACTGGAGCTGTACGGCGCAGCCAGGCGCTGAGGCTATATGGCGTCGTCTGGCTCGCGCCCTGGAAGGAAGGGCGAGCACCGCGGGGAATCGAACCCCGTACCTCGGGCTTCCCAGACCGTGCTGAGTAATCAGGGGCCGCATGATGTTCGCAGGGAGAAGCTGGCGGCTCCAAATGCCCCATGCCATTTGTTACCCAGCTAAGGCACCCGCATTGTTGTGAGCAAGCGGATTAATGTTCCAAGCACGCTTCGGAACGAACCTTAACGGAACGGGTTCAGGACAACCTGACGGGCAAATCCGGCTGCATCACGCACGTGCAATGACAGGTCCTTACCAAGGTTGGCGTACTCAGTCTCTCGCTGGCCCGTCGACCTGTCGGAGCCGTCACGTGACCTGCTGAAGACTTCCGGATTGGGCGGCGGCGGCCGCGAGGGCGGGGTCTGGCCCAGCGCCACCTCTGATTGGTCAATGGAGGAGGTGCGGCGGGGCGGCGGCGGCGGCTTCGGCCGACCTGAGGCAAAAACACATGGCTTTCACCGCTGGCTTCCGGACAACACTTTCCAGTTTTTCATCAACAACACCTTGAAAAGTTGCGGCTGACTCTTGCCGCGACCGTTACAAGATACATAACGTTTACGTGTCATTGAAGGAAAACAAACAGCAGCCCAACCTTGTTCTTTTCGTCTCTTGAGTAGTAGTACCAGCCGCCGAGCGACAGCTCTCTCTGCTTCTCAGCGATATGTCTATACAAAGATATCACGAAAGGTGGCCCAACTATCACCAAAGGCAGGGAAACTGCGTTCGGAAATTGGCCAATTTCGCCAATACGTGCGCCGGACCCACGCCATTCGCGGTGAAAACTGCGCCAGATGGTCAGCTGGCCCTATTACAGCTCCTGTTACGTGTACCGTTGTGAGTACGCAGCGATGCGGTTCTCAGTTGATGTCATTGTTAATGTCTGCCACATCGGTCCTACTGGTCAGGCGTGCTTCAACCACAGTCCGTCAGTCAAAGCTGCATTTTCGATCATAGGCGGATCCTGGGGGGGGGAGGGGGGGGGCACGGAGCCATGACCCCCAAAACCTCTGAGAGTATGCTTTGGCCCCCCAAAACATTCCCAGAACTTCATAAAAGTTTCGTTTACTCACCCGCTGTTTTAACTTTAACTGTTTAAACTGTTTTGTTCTAACTTTTGTTTAAGATTCAAAAGCCTTTCGGTGTTTTTTTTCGGATTTGAATGGTGAACCTACTAAGTACTCGCAAAAGGCACAATGCACTGGACCTCGGATCCCACACCAGCCAGCTGGCGACGAACGGCTGCTCCCCCCCCCCCCCCCCAACTCCAGGCTAGATCCGCCCCTGTTTTCGATTCCCCAATGCAAACTTACAACATAAGTCAACAGAGCGCAAAAAAATTCAAGCAGTCAACAACAGAGCGCAAAACAGAGTGCAGATGTGATCCTCCACACCGACGCATGCCGCACCACGTGCGCCACACCAACATCGTATGAGCCAGATGTAGAACTTCTTTACACCTACCGTTTGCTTTGCGGAGGGAGGCTCGTTGTCAACAGTTAACTCCTCAATGATCTATGCTCGAGCCCAGACATATTGGGCGCTCAAATCTCCTCTACAGGTCTGCGAAAGGTGCCGCCCATGATCTGGGCCCACTGCAGCTGTCATCGGCTGCAGCTCCTCAGCTCCCTAGCGTCTGTTAACAAACCGGCAGCCTCATCCGACCGGACCGTTTTGGAAGGGGTGGCGGCCGGCGCCGAGGCGGACCGGTCGGTTGCTCCCAGCAGCGCGGCAGCCACGGCCGTCCCGGGACGGCCGTGGCCGTCGACTCAACACCGGCCCACTGAGCCAGGGGCCGAGATTACTGAGACGCTTGGGGGTGGCCAAGCCCCCACAGCTGGTACCCTTTGCTGAGAAAGGGAGGGGCATAATAACCGTTTCGATTAGAGCTGATGCGGCCGCTGCCACACCTGCCGCGTGCCGCCTCCTCCGCCCGAGCCCGTAACGGCTGGGGCGGCGGCGGCGGCGGCGGCTCAGCGCCGGCCGGTAACGTCACAGAGGCCAGGAAGTGGCGGCGGCGCGCCGAGCCCGCCCGCCAGCCGCAGAATCAAGTCCCAGCGCCGGCGCCGGGCCGCGCCGGCCGCAACGGCGCGATTAACAGTGACAAATGGAGGGCCATCTGTCGACGCCGCCGACTGTGGCGGCCGGCGCCGGCAGGCACGCCGATTGACCAGAGCAGGGGCCGGCGCCGGCGGCTCCGGCCGCTCCGGCACCGCCGAGCCGGAGCCGCGTGATGGCCGGTCGGGCCGAGCACGAGACGCGCTCACAGACGGCGCGCTGAACCGGGTCCGCGGGAAACACGCCATGTGAAAAACCTACGTCAGCGCCTCGGTGGAGGTCATGGGAAAACTGCTCTGATGGTGAGATTTAACCAGCTACAAAAAGGGCGTCGCTCTTGGGACTCGGGTCTCCTCTTTGGGGAGACTAAATGTGGCTACAATAGGAGCTGCCGGCAGCAAAAACTCTCAGACCAGCAAAAACAATGCGAGCACACTGCGCGAGACTCCTAGACAGGGACGACGACGGCCGTCAACAGGTGCGGTGTCCGAAACAGCCGCAGCAGGAGCCGAAAACCGCGCGATGACGCTGCTGGAATCAGCAACATTTTTGCTGTTTGACCCTGCCAAGACCACTCCTGAAAACCTGCTCCGGCACGAACCCAGTGCTTCTAGCCCACACAGCCGGGCCCGCCTATAAGCCTCGGCGAATCACGCACGTGGTGCACGTGCCACGCCGGTCGGCGCGCACCTCGCCTCGCAGCCAGCGGCGCAGCTCGCCGCGCCTGGGCCTGCACGCAACGGCGGCATTCCGGCCAGCATCCCACCGAAAAACGTCCGCTTTCCCGCCATGAATGGGACGGCGCCTGATCGGCGCTGCCGGGAACGAGGTCACGTGACCGGCGCGGGGTCGGCGCGGCCGCGGCGCGCGGACGCCTCCGCCGCATACAAAGCAGCCGGCCAAGTGGCACAGGCGGCAGCGGCGCGGCCGTCGGCGAGCCGGCGGATGCCCGTGCGCCCGGGCGCCGATCCCGAGGCGTGGTCTGGGTGGTCGTCGCGCCGGCTCATGTTGTCACCTATCACTGTGCGGCCCGCCAGACATGTTGGCGGACACCCCCGCCGCTGGGGAGCGCCGAACGCCGTCGGTGGACCCTGCCGCACGACCGTGGCGCCCCTGGCGGCAGCCGGCTGACCCAGTGGGCGTCTAATGACAGGGTCAAGTGACCCCGGCCGGCCGGCCGCGGCGTGCCGGGCAGGTGGTGGTGGTCCGGCGCTGTTAAGAGCACAGCGCCGCTCCCGGAGGGTCGGCAGAGGCACCCCGCCGGACGGGCAGACGCCCGCCGCTGTCCGGGCTCCGGGCCGGACGGGCAGACGTCCGCCGCCGCCTGGGCTCCGTGCCCGAGCCAGAGCACGGCATTTAACGTCCTCGACTGGAGGCCGGCCGGCGCTGCCCACAGTGTTGTAGGCCGGCCACGCTTCGTGTCGCCCGGCGACGTATATGGCGCGGCGCTCCTTTCACTGGGCTGCGCCGCGCGCGCTCCGGTCAATCGCATCAGTTGGCGGGGCGGGGGGAGGGGTGGAGGCGGCGATGGGCGCGGCGTGAGAGCGAGTCCGGGCGGGTCTGTCGGGCGCCATCGCGGCAGAGATCGATGGCCGCCTCCGGGCCGGCGGAGGACAACAGCGCCTCTGACGTCGCCAGCCGGTCGGCCGGACGGTACCCGGCTCGACCGAGCGCGCGCTGTCCGGCCTGACACTGGCGGCAGGTCTCTTGCGCCGTCTGGGCGGACTATGGCGCGGTGAGGGCCGACCGCCGCGGCCTCTGCGGTCTGCTGGCTATCACTGGCTGCTGCTGGGTCTTGTCATAAGCCTACCAGCCACTGTCGCTTTGGAGCGGCTTCCTTCGGCAGCTGGAGGCGTGACGTGCGCTCTGCCAGCTTCCGTTGACCTGGGAGGATTTACGCCCGCAGCTGCCCGCCGGGTGTGACTCCGTCAATCAGCGGCGGTCCACGGAATGATCACTGACGGCGGCTGACGGCCGACACGACCTCTGCCAGCTCCCGCATGTCTGGCAGGAATTCAGCCGATGCCTGCTGGGACCACGTGTGACCCGCGTCGCCGACGCCTGACGGGACCGTGGGTGACCTCCATCGCCGACGCCTGACGGGACCACGGGTGACCTCCGTCGCCGACGCTTGACGGAATCGCGGGTGACCTCCGTCGCCGACGCCTGACGGGACCTCGGGTGACCTCCATCGCCGACGCCTGACGGGACCACGGGTGACCTCCGTCACCGACGCCTGACGGGATCACGGGTGACCTCCGTCGCCGACGCCTGACGGGACCACTGGTGACCTACGTCACCGACGCCTGACGGGACCGCGGGTGACCTCCATCGCCGACGCCTGACGGGACCGCGAGTGACCTCCGTCGGGCCGGGCCGACGTCCCAGGGTCAGCGCCACCGCGAACGGGCGGCCAGCCAGGAACGGGCGGCCGACAGCCCGTTACGGCAGCACGATCCGGTGGGCGGTGCCGCTCGACCGCGCCCGCCACCACCCCATCCTCCTCCTCCACATGTGCAGTCTCAGGGGCTGGGGAGAGGCGCCGCCGGCCTGCGGCGACCCGCAGTCCAATTGCCTCACCCAGCCGGCGCATCGCCGTCTAACTGCAGGGCAAACGAGACCGAGGGCGCGTCTGCCTCCCGCCCAGTGACGTCAGCTGGGGCCACCGACCGCTGCCCCGCTCCGGCCGCGACGCGCCGCCTGGAACGCCTCTGCGGTGGGCGGGGTCGGCCGGGTCAGATGAGTCGCTCGGCGGGGGCGGCCCGGAGGCCAACCGAGCGTTCCGTTCACTGATGACGAAATGACTTCACGCCTCACTCCCCGGGCGACGCCTGTTTGTTATTCCTGACGACGCACATTTCTACCTCTCGCTCCCCTCTCTCGCGCTCTCTCCCCGTCTCTCTCTTTCCTCTCCTTTTTCCCCATCTCTTTTTTAGTTTCTCTCTCCCTCCCTCTCCCCTCTCTCTCTCTCCCTCTCTCTCTCTCTCTCTTCCTCTCTCTTTATCTCCCCTCTCTCTCTCTTTCTCTCTCTTTATCTCCCCTCTCTCTCTCTTTCTCTCTCTTTATCTCCCCTCTCTCTCTCTCTTTCTCTTCACCCTCTCTCTCTCTCTCTCTCTCTCTCTCTCGCCCTTCCGTCGCCGCTCGTGTCGTCGTCACGGCCAGGTGCGCGAGCGACGCTCCCATGTGTCCGCTGCGTCCATCTCGCCGCCCGCCTCCTCGCACAGCGCGCCTGCGCAAACAGGCGTCTTTCTCCCCTGATGGCGCATTCAGTTTCAGCGGCACGTGAAACAGACGGCGCCACCGCCGAAACAAAGCTGACAGAAGCGCCTCTCCCGCCGCGTGTCGTAACCGCACCAGGCGCGCGCGGAGGCAAAAACG